CATTACACACAGATGAGAAGGCAGTGGGTGCGTTTGGGGCACTGCAGGATGAGTCAGGCACTATCCCTGCTCCCCAGAGGCGTGGCCAGTGCTCAGACGTCAGATGAGTAAGGCAAAATTTTCTGTATGTTACTGAGAGATTATTGGAAAGCATAGAAGAGTCTCATGACTCAAAAGAAGCACTGCCTGGAAACTGGAAGATTTTATGGAAGCTGAGGGAAACATTAGGGTGTGAGGGCTGTGGGGTGGGCGAGGGTGCCCAGAAAGATGGGGAGACCTGAGAGTCGCTGTCACAAAAGGCTGCAGAAGGTGACTTCAAAGCTGTATGTCCAAGTGAGTTATAGCTGTAGTCATTGAGGTTTGTGTGAGCCCTGAAGAACTTCTGCTCTAGATGTAAACTTACAATAGAACCTGATGCCTGTTACTCAGTAGGCACGGATCTTTAATTTATAATATACTGACAGCGTCTTCTGAATATTTTCAATTTTTTTGCAGTGGCTGGGGTCCATCTCCTTCCCTGCTGGAGCCCTGCAGGCACTAGCTGGAAGCTGTAATCACTGGGTGAGCAGCAGCGGTGGGAGGTGGGCTCTGGGGAGGCTAGAATGGAGGTCAAGAGGAAAACACAAAACCAAATACACAAGCCAGCACCCCCCGCCCTTCCCTGACTCCCCTCCCGGCCCTGCCCCCACCATTTAGTATGAGTCTATAATGACTTAGTTATTTGTAATTTCTCCTCCTAACTGTAGCTGGGAGGAGCCAGTGGGATATCGATTAGCACGGCGGGTGGGGTTGGCGGGCAGTGGAGGCTGAGGCGACGAGGCCGTGTGCCGGGGCGCCTGCTGGTAGTGTTACTGGCAGGAACCTGACCGTGGCTGTCCGATGGCTTTTTACCATCTCTGCCCACCCAGCCCGGGGGCAGGAAACCTCCAGCTGTCGTCCGGCAGGTCCCCGAGTCTCCCAGGCATAGGCGCGGAGCTGGGGGTGGTCCGGCATGATGGTGGCGGTCGCGGATGGCAGCACCTCTCAGCTCCAGGGGCACAGTAACGACAGTGCCCCAACTCGATTGCGTCCGAGAGGTCATCATGACTTGGGTTCCTTCAGTTTGGACCTTTCAGATGGAGACTGCTCACAAGTCAAGTCTTTCACCTGCCCTCCGAGGGTGACAGCTCGAGCTGCCTCCCAGCCGCTGAAGAATCACTGTGGTGCTTATTACTGGGAGCAAACCTCTCTGTGAGGAAATCGGCACCCTTTCTTGTTCCGTGAAAAGGAAAATTTTCTTCACCTCTCCCACAGAGCAGAGAGCATGGCTCCACTCTGTGAGTGGCCCGTCCGTGCCCCATGCGGTCAGCTTCTAGGAGCTTTCTCCTGGCCAGGTCACATCCCCAGAGTGGTCATGTCCCGCGCCCAGAACACGGAGGGGAGGTGCAGAGGGAAGCAGGGACTTCCTTCCATGACGTGCGAGGGAGAAGGCGGGCCTCCAGAGTACGTGGTGCCTGCCAGGACCCGCGCCCCACAACAGGGGGCAGGCTTGCTTGTGTGGACGGAGGGGCAGGTGCGCAGGCTCCTGTCTGGGCCCTCCGGCCTGGGTCTGGCCTGGGCGCCTTGAATGGAGAGCAGGCATGAAATGGGACCAGCTCCCAGCTCCCCTCCCACCCATGCTTGGGGTTCTTTGGGCAGTTTGCCAGGAGAATTGGGGGTATTCTCAGCCCTTCCCAGAGTCTCTCACTGATCACCAAGGAGGGGAGAAAGAAGCAAAAGGAACAGCTAGGAAAAAAAGCCATCCCATGAGAGAGAGCAGACATTCCCTCTGAATAGCCAAACAGCATCTCTCCCGCAGATCTCAAAAGCTCTATGCAAACTCTGCATTCTGTAGATGATCACGGATGGTCCTTTCGTGTGAGGGGGATTGTGGCATTCCACTCCCTGCTTACATGGAGCCACTTTCCATGCTTCTGTTCTTAGTCATAAGTAGGAGTGTGTGAGAACTGGCAGAATCTTCTAGTCTGTGGAGGCTGAATAATGGTCCCCTAAACATGCCTGAGTCCTAATCCCTGAAACCAATGGTTATGTTACCTTATATGGCAAGTGGAATTTTACCAGTGGGATTCACTTAAGGATTTTGAGGTGCAGAGATTATTCAGGATTATTTGGGTGGGCCCCAGATATAGTCACAAGGGTCCTTATAAGAGGGAGGCAAGAGGTCACAGGAAGAGGAAGTCCAGGTGCCAAGGGAAGCCAGGAAGAAAAAGCCATGTGCTGGGGCCGCAGTCCCAAATGAGGACAACTGCTAGAAGCTAGAAAAGGTCAGAATGTGGGTTTTGCCCTGAGGCCTTCAGAGGCCACTCGGCATTGCCAACACCTTGATTTTAGCCCACTGAGACCCATGTCAGACCGTGCACCTCCAGAACTGTAAGAGAATTAATCGGTGTTGTCTTAGCCACTGTTTGCAGTGACTTTCTACAGCAGCAGTGGGACACTAGTGTAGAACTCATGACCTCAGCCCTCTCTCTTTACAGATGAGGAGGTTGGAGCCCATTTGTAGTCAATGTTCTCATTTTTAGTTTGTTGGTTTTTAAATTATTTATGTGAAGAGAATGACTTTCCTCCTGCTTCTATGAATAAGAAACAGTTATTTTCTGTATTGTCCAGCTGACCACAGCAGGCCTTAGAATTTTCAGTTTTAAGGGGCTTGATTGCTAAATTGATCCTTAGGGTTCATTGATTGTATTTTCTTGGATCAAAATTAAGGACTCTGATCTGGTAAGAATGAGTGAATTTATGGGATTAACATGACGAGACTGTCACATAAAACCAGGGACAAAGAGTCCCTGTGGTAATATGTGATGTGGTAGCCAACACAGGCCCTCCTGTCCCTTAAGCCCTCTCTACTTTCCCCCACCCTCTGGCCTCCACATCTCAAGGAAGCAATGGGGCTCAGAACCTTGCCACAGGGTTTCCAGAGGGCACTGTTGATTTCTGAACCAGAAGAGACTTTGGAAAGGCCTCCTGGGTCTAAAAAAATGAAGACTCATTGCTTCAATCCTTGCAATAAACATCCTGGGTGACTTTCACTTCAAACCTCAGAGGGTTTCAAGACACTTCAGAACATTCTGTGCCTCATCTGTTTCCCATCAGTCAGTGGAGAAGTTCAACCAGATGCACTGCTAGCAGCAAAGCCTGGGCAGAAGGACTATGGATGGGGAGTGGAGGGACAAGGGAAGTGTAGCCACTGTCCTGCGGCCACTACTGCAGGCCTGGGGCCTTCTGGGTGACAGTGGGGTCTGAAGCATTCGTTCTTGAAAGGGCTTTTCAAGGAATCCCCGTGACTCCATGATCGAGTTTTCCCATAGAAAGAAGTGAGGTTATGTAAATTACTCTTTACGGATCACTGGATTGGCAGTTCCACTTCAGTGAGGCCAAAAGCAGGCTGCATGATTCTACTTCCTCTCTCTGCTGTATTAAGCGGTGGGCTTCCCTGTGCTGTTAGTGAATAGGATCCCAACTAGGTTAGGTCAGCTGGGACTGATGTGTTTGATCACAGAGACAGTATAGAAAGGACTCAGTTATTTGTATGCCCTTCATCCTGGGATGATAATGGTATTTGGTGAGATTTTCCTGCTGGTATGAATTCACACCCTTGAAATGTACTTGGCTTGACTGAAAATTTATAGCTCATTCCTCAATCTCACCATGTCAAAATTATAGAATGAAAACAAGTATTACCCTTTCAACTGGTCCTTGACAAAAGAATAAACATGGATACAATGTAATATTTACCCTTGACCCAACCAACTCCATTTTGGGGTTATTCACAGCTTCCACAAGAACACTCCCACCACACAATTATATACATCCTTAAATTAACATAGCTTACTCATCTGGGATCCCCTGAGTGCGTAGATCTCAATTTGCTCTTCTTTCAACTGGAGGATAAATTTGACTGCCTGTATGTTTCCATCTAGCACCAACATTGTACTTTTCTCAGATTTTATTTACCCAATTTGAGTTGTAACCCCCAAGAGTACCTTCCTCATTCGCAAAAGAATACAACTAGGGCCAAAAGACCCTTTTGACTTTGAGCCATTTGTTCTGTGTATGAAATTCCTAAGATTTCTCTAGAAATCTTTTAGTATCTCCCTTTTCATCTTAAGAACCTCAGTATCTGAATAGATCAGACAGGAAGTGCCATTAGGGTTACTAATGTATTTTTAAGGACGTTTGGAAAAGTGTTTCTCTTTTCCATCCACCAACTGGGGGATCCTTGCCTCCCCACCTCTGCCTAAACTATGCAACTCAGTTCAACAACCAGTCTCCTGGGACCCAGAAGGCTCAAGTCCCAGCTCGTGCCTTCTTGGTCCTGGTCCAGTCCTTACCCTCCTGCACATGGCTTCCTGTCCATGTGGGGGAGAGCATTGGACTGGGAAGTCTTTAAAGCCCCATCCAAGCCAGACAGCAGGAGTTTGAATATGAGGTGGAGCAGGGCTGAAATTGCATCTGTGGGGCTGGCAAGGGGTCCCAGTGGGCCCTGGGAAGGCTCCTCCACCTCCGCTCCAGCCTCTCTAACTGCACGGGGGCTGCTAGTGAAGGGGAGAGGAGCCATCGACATCACCATGGGGCCTGTTGGGGTTGGGTAGGAAACATTCACTTTGTATAGATATGGCTCCATTTCCAGTGTACAAGCTATTCATTAGGCGAGTTCCACAAAATAATAAAGATTTGGAAAAATCACCCCCTTCCTTGACTTAACACTTAAAATTCTTATGAGACTGGCAGCAGGGGGACTCAAGATTAACTTTCCTTTGATCTAGAAGGGTTCTATGAGGGTTAAAGACCAAAAGGTCTCCTTTTCTTTTTGATAGAGCCATGGCCCAGCCGAATACACATCACTCTAAAACCACCTCTCAGCTGGAAGTACGTAAGTCTTAGAGTCACAAAAAAAATAGGAAACTTACGCAGAGTTTCCTTGGCCACTTCCCCATCTGAGTGATCGTGTACCAGTACTACAGCCGGGAGGGTGCTCCCTGTGAGGAGGGAAAAGGTGTGTCTGCAGTCACCCAGTCGGAGAGGGTGACACAAGCCCGATTAGGAAATCCCTGGAGGATGAGGGTATAAATCCCTGCCCGACCTCAGAGCTTGCACTGCAGGTGAAAGTCAGGCTGGCAGCCCTCCCTCCCCAGGGGACAGACACAGGTGAAGGAATGCAGAGCTGCAGGTAAGAGGCTCCTGAGAGAGGGGGAGGGGGGGAGGGAGAGAGAAAGAGACAGAGAGAGGGAAGGAAGGGTAGAGAAGAGAGGAAAAGGGAATGAGGGAGGTGGGGAAAGAGATATGAAGAGAGGGACAGAGGGAGAGGATGTGTGAGAGAGAAGCAGAGAGGGAGAGAGAGGGAGAGGGACAGAGAGGATGAGGGAGGGAGGGAGGGCGGGGCTCAGGCGGTCGGGACACTGTCCAGTTTCCAAGTGAAGCGCAGGCGGGTCTCTTGGCGTCTGTGCAGCCGAGGCGCCTCCTCTCGGCGGCCTTCCTCATCTGTGTCCTTCTCCTGTGTGAAGGTGACTTTGACCTCTTTGGGTTCTAGTTTCTCTGTCCAGAAAGGGGCTGGGTCAAGAGGGCTCTAAGGACTCCTACAACTGGAAGCGCAAGTGCCCTGGGGTCGGTGAGAGGGAGAGGAGGGCGGACAGGCCTCCCGGGGTGTCCCCAGAAGGCTGGCTCGGGGAGTCTGGTGGCAGGTGCTCTTCTGTGGGTGGACTTCCGCCCACCCGGGCCCTGAGGGGAGGGGCTGGGAGCAGGTGCTGACTGTGCCTCTTAGCAGCTCCCTGTGGTCATGGCCTCACTGTCTTTTCAAAGCTCTGCACCCTGCTGGATGACAAGTGGCGTTTGACTAGAGGCCACCACCCAGGGTCTGGCAGCTCGCCTGTCCTCAAGCAGGGGTGGGCTGAGCTTACCTTTACCCCCTGCTTCATCAGGAAAAAACAAAACTGGGCACGATTCTTAAAAGTAAAAAAGCCCCACAAAACAAAATGTTTGCCCTCACTTATAATGAGATGAATTGCACCATTTGTTTCTGCCCATTCAGTGCCTCAGTTTCCCCACCCGTCAATAGCGATCTTGACGAGGATGAGGATGAGGGTGGTGGAGACTCAAAACCTGAGCCCCGGATACATCAGAGCAGCACCTGACACCCCTGGGGGCCCCCTGCGTGTCTGCTCCCACCCGGACTGCTCCTTCTGGAGTCCCGCTCCCCTTCCGATGCCTTTCCCCTTCTTGGGACCCAGGCCCCCAGGGGTCCCCACCACCTGGCCCCCAGCTGTGCCTCTAATGCGGTGTGAGCTTGGCCAAGGCCCATCATGAGTCCTCCTCCGTGAACTGAAGCAGTCAGTGACCAGCCCTCCCAGCAGTGTGTGCCGTGGGCCGCTGCTTCCCTCGCTGCCGTCCGTGCCAGCCTGCCAAGCTCCCTCTCTTCTGGCCCGTTTCTCTGAGCACTGCCTTCCTGAGAGGGCAGCGGGTTCCCTCCCACGTGCATGGGCGGAAGTGGCACCTGCCTTCCAGTCTCATTACAGTCTTGTCCATTTCCATGCTGTCTTTCACTCTTTAGCCTCTGTGGCTATCCAAAGAGGCCAGAAGGAAGCTTGGCTAGGGGAGGGGTTGCCGTGGGCATAGTGTCTGCCCTGTTTGCTCACAGCTGGCCTGGGAGCCCCTCTTGCCCCTTGCCAGAATCCTTGGTCCACTCAGACCTCAAAGCCCACTTTCTTGATAATAAACCTGCTGATCAAGATCCACCTCCCGATCCCTCCTTCCCTCCCTCGGGATAGCAGAGCTTTAGTGACAACACAACTAGTATAAGTGGTGTGTGCTGGGCTGTCATTTATGTCACCATCACCTGCTCTTGCTATAGGGGCCACTTGATCATGACAGTGCTTTCTGCCAGTGGGTCTCAAACTTGTGCCTGCACCAGCATCCCTCTAAGCCTGGGGGGCTTATTCACACACAGACTGGTGAGCCCACGCAGAATTTCTGATTCAGTAGGGTTGGGTGGGGTGAGGACTTGCATTTCTACTAAGTTCCCCAGTGCTGCTCATCTGGGGACCCCACTTTGAGAACCACTTTCTTAGGTGATAAGAGAAGGCCTCACATCCAGTAGGGTTTCAGGATAAGAGGCTTTTGTGATCGTTTTCAAAACAGAGCCCCTCTGCTGGGTTTGACGTGAGTGCTGGGTGGGGTGGTTTTAAATAGGGGTTGGTCTACTTAGCTGACAGAGAACTCAGCACAGCCGGGATCAATGAGTGTCTAACCCATGATCTCAGTCTCCTGTCAATACAGTTCCCCACCCATGCAGGAGCGCAGCTTACAGCAGCAGGGGAGGGGGCGGCGAAAGGCAACAGGCTCATGGAAGCTCCCAGGCCAGCTGCTGGGGCACCGGGGCCCCAAGAAAACAGTGATGGTGTTGGTGCTGATCTTGTAGTATCTCAGAGCCTCTGCTCTGGGGGTTCTCACCCTGGCTGAGCATTCGAATCACCTGAGGAGCTTTAAAGAATCCCTGTACCCGGGACCAGCTACACGAGGAACTCTGGGGGCTGGGGTCCAGGCATCAGTCATCTCTCAAGCTTCCCAGGCACTTCTGAGGTACAGCCAAGGCTGGGACCCCCTGCCCTATTTCATCTCCCAAGCTCCTTACTCTCTCACCTTTTCTAAGCTGTTCAGGGCCTTCTTATTTTTTCCTTCAAAACCTGTGTTCTGAAGCTGTAATTTGTCTGATGATTTTCATCAGGTACATGGGCATTTGACTCACCAGGAGCGAACAGGGGAGAAGTCTGAGAATCTGTATTAACCTCCATCCCAGTGTTTCTGAAGCTTTGAAATGTTTCTGACTACCTTGATGAAGAACCTCTGTTTCATGTTAAGCATAAATAATTTCCTAAACACAATCATTTGATTGTGGCACTTGAATATGGGCCCAAGGAGCCCATTTTAAAACCTGGATATTATCTTGGTGTGTGGCTTAGACATATAACTTCATGTTTCTGGATGTCAGTTTCAATTGTCAGGTGACAGGGATTGGTTAGAGAACAGGTTCTTTGCTGTTTTTAAGAATTTCTGGATATTATATTGCCCAAATTTTTCATGAAATGTCAAGAGGAAATTGAAGAATACATGGACTTAATTGGGGATCATGACCTTGAATGTATTCAGGGACCATGGGGCAAGTCAAATCTTTGAGGCTGTGAGTGTGGGGTCTATGGCTAACTGACGTGCGCTCATCCTCGGAAAGACCAACATTCTGGCTAAATCATGCACACTCACAAGTTACACCTAGACCCCCAGTCTGTGATTTTCACAACAGCTTTGACAACTTCTGAAAATATGATCACATAACTGTTAAGTTAAAGGGTGAATACTAGTACCAATTCTGTTAGTATTTCCTTGGAGGACTTACTTAACCTCAATGTCTTCACTTCTAAAACAAGAATAATAGTATGTCTTTCATACAGTGTTGGGAAAATTAAAAGAAATAATACATGTCGGAACTTTGCCGACTGCCTGGCCCATGGTGGGTGTTCAGTGTGAGCTAACATCACCACCTTCAGTCTCATCATCATCCTTATCCTTGTCATCAACATCAGATTGTGAAATTCTGACAGCACCATTTCAAAAACCACTCAGAGTGGGCTGGAGTGACCAGACACGAGGATTTAATGTCATCTCTGCTGTCACTCCACCTTTATTTAAAGGACAAACCAGTCCCAGAGATCAGTGCTTCTCAAAGCGGTTGGGCAATCTTGTTAAATGCCCAGATTCTGATTCCCTAGGTCTCACATAGGGCCTGAGACTGTGATGCCCCTGCTGCTGGTCCACAGACCATACTTTGAGTAGCAAAGCTTAGAATATTTGGGACAAGGTTTTCTTATTTGGGAGCAAGGAAGAAGTTGATGGAGAGCTTCGGGTAGGTCCTGAATTTTCTAGAGCTAATATTTATCAGAATGTCTTCAAGGTCTGTGGTAAGCAGAAGTCTAAGATGAGCTCCACTGAAGCATGCCCTTGGATAATCCCTTCCCCTTAATGAGAGCTGGCTATACGACTCTAATGGGGATAGCCTTTCCACGATTAGGCTACTTTATGCAGCAAAGTGAAGGCATTTTGCAGATATGATTTAGGTCCCCAACCAGTTAACATGAAGTTAATCAAAAGGAAAACCATCCTGGCTGTGCCTGACACGACCAGATGGGCTCTTTAAAAGAAGGTCTAGGGGTCATAGTCAAGAGGTCAGAGAAGTGTAAAATAGCATCTAATGTTGTTCTGTTGGCCTTGGAGAAACAAACCGTCATGCTGCGAAGAGGGCCATGGGGTCCTGCCCCATGTGGTGGTCTCTAGTTGCTGAGAGTGTTCTTGGCTAACAGTCAGCAAGAAAGTGTTACCTCAGTTATCCAGCCATGAGGAAGTGAATTCTACTCACAGCCACATGTGCTTGGAACCAGATCCTGAGCTTTGGTATCAGTCTGGGAGCCCCTGAGCAGAGACTCCATTCAAGCTGAGATCAGACATCCGACTCACAGCAGTGTGAGCTAATAAATGGGTGTTGTCTGAAGTCACCGAGTTTGTGGTAGTTTGTTACACAGAAATAGAAAATGAATACAACATGCTAATTCTTTTATTTGATTGCCATACATACCAGTCCAAGCCATTTTGCAATAATACCCCCAAACGCCTCAGTAGCTTAATATAACACAAGTTTCTTGTGCTCATGCTAAATCACTGTCATTATGTCAGACAGTGGTGGCTCATCATAGCCACTTGACATTTTCAAAAGAGAACTTATGAGGACCATCTGTTGGACTCAGATTGTTTTGGCACAAGTGCTGGGCTGGGAAATAGGCATTTCTCCGATTTAACAGAAGGGGAAATAGATACGCAGACACAAATGAGTGGATCCATGGAGGGAAGCTGACTGCTCAGCCTCCTAGCAAGATAACCTGGTCATCTTTTGTGGCTGCTATCAATAAACAAGGGATCAGCGTTCACAGTTGCAAGAGTTGAGAGGGATGGAGGGCAGGGCGCCAGAAATGAAATGCGTAGGCATGGAAGTATCCTTCCTGCTTTTCCTGGGGATAGTCTGGAGGCCATGCCTAATGTCAAGGTTATGAAGAAGTGAAATCCTGTGTGTACCTCAAAGTAGGAAAGTACCAGACATTGGTAACCATGAGTCTGTCTACCACACTGTGT